GAGAGAGAGAGAGAGAGAGAGAGAGAGAGAGAGAGAGAGAGAGAGAAGGAGAAACTGCTATGTATAATGGTAAGAGATTCTTTCAATTTGAAGATGAAAAATTGATGCCATTGAAAAATTCAGAAAATATTTTATAATAAGTTAAATATGATCAATATACTGTTGATATAGCATCAACCACTACTAGAGAGAAAACAAGAAGCATAAACTATAGCTCTTATATTTTTGTGATTTTGTGTTCAACCTGAATTCATTCATTTTTCTTCATTTCCACCATCACCATCATCTCCTAATTATTGGACTACTACAGTTCATCTCCTAAAATTGACTCCCAGTTTTTTTGTTTTACCTCTCCTATCCATACTCCACATAGTAATGAGATTATTTAAAAATGTAAATTGGGATATGTCATTTTCTTGCTTAACTCACTCCACTGACTTCCCACTGTACTTAAACTCTTAACCTTTACCAAGGCCAGCAGGGCCCTACGTGATGGGTCTCCTGCCTACTTCTCTAACCAGGTCTCATATACTCTTCCCTTTGCCTCTGTGCTCCCACCACGCTACCTTGCCTTTAGTTCCTCAAAAAGGCCCAGCTCATTTCTGCCTCAGGGTCTTGACACATGCCATCTCCACTGCCTATTCTGTTCTTCCTACTTTCCATATGTTTGAATCTTTCTTATCCTATAGGCCTCAACCTAAAGCCATTTCATCAGTGTTCTTTCCTGATATCCTAAGCTAGGACAGTGCCTGGGAGCTTGTGTAATTACTACAAAAGCTCACGTTTTACCTTAAAATTCCAGACCAATTTTGTATTCTAGCCCCAAATAAATCCATGTTTGTTTTAATATAAAACAGTTCTCAGAAATCCTAAAATCACTGAGTGAACCTGAAGTTTGAGAAAGATGATATATTTATCCTGTATCTTTATGTGCCACTGACACAACAGTCCCCCTCCCTTAGACATGCAACACGGGCATGGTACCATTTTAGGTCAGATGATTCTTTGTTGTGGGAGCTGCCCTGTGTTAGCAGCATCCCAGGCCTCTGACCACTTGATGCCAGTGGCATCTGTCCTCCTAACTGCAACAAGCAAAGTATCTCCAGACAATGTCCCCTGGAAGGCAAAATCATGCACCTTGGCTCTAGTCTGTGTTGACATCTTGCTACAGTATTTACTAATCAATCAGGATGGCGAGCAATGCTTTGTTGTTGTTGTTGTTGTTAAACATTGGGTACTAGCTATTAAACAATAAAAAACAAATATACAAGAATCAATTAAGAGTATAAAATATCTTAGAGACAGAGAAAAATATATGTGTGTGTGTGTATGTATACACATATATCACGCTCAAAATTACAAAACAGTCAACATTAAATGTATGAACAAGAAGATATTCCCTAGTAGAACCTGTGACTACTACTGCCATAAAGGTAAAATAAAAAGCAGTCTATCATTTTTGGAAATTGGTATTATAACTACAATTAGTATACTACACTTCAAAACAAATATATAACAAAGATTTTTCAGAGCCTGGACATAAACCAAATGGAAATAAAATTTACAAGTAGCATTATCTACTATTTTACAAAGGACAACTAATTACAAAACGGAAAAGAAAAGCATATCACGTATGCAACTGAACAAAAAATCTGGAGTAAGACTAACCTTAATATTTCATAAAATCTATTAAATCTAAGATTAAAACTATTCTTTCTGGAAATGATATTGCCAATATTTTCTTCCTTTTCCAACTCATTACAAGGTATAGTTCCATAATTTTTTAGGACTGACATTTTTCAATTTACTTTTAAAATAAACATCTATTTCTAAAGAGGAAAATGACTTTTTAAATCCACGGCCTTAATATGGTCTTCGGTAATTGAGAAATCGAAAAAAAATTTCAAAAGGAAAACAATCTGGGCATATGACCCAATTCATATTTTTAAAGTTTAATCAACTTACATGCCACACGAGAGGAAGCACACCCATCCATAAAAAGAAAAAGAAATGAAGACCTAAATAATATCAATGTTTTAAATTGAACACAGCTGTGAATTAAATTAGCTCTTTTAAATTGGCTTCATTTAGATTTATACTCGTAACTTGCACTGCATCAGCAGTGATTTGAATTATTTGTTGAATTTAGATCTTGTAATTCTATGGCTGCACCAACACTTCCAACTGCCTGCTAAAGATGCTGGGATAAATTAAAAAGCAAACAAAGTTTACTGGGGATAATTCACTCCTTTTGGACATACGCGTATTCCTTTACTGGAGAAGGGAGCTGCAACAATGGCAAATTTAGAAAAAGTAGATATAAAACTTTAATTTGTATGGAGCTGTCGATATTAATACTGTGATGGGCTATTTTCCTTTCGAGCATTTTTCATCACATATCATCTTAGACCTTTATATAAAGTACTTTCTAGTGAGTCAACTTTAAACTCCTTAAGGGCAGGGACAGTCTATTGTACTTTCTTACTGTCTATTACAGAGCTATTCACCTGGCCTCCTATAGACATTATATTTCCATTGCTCATAATTTAATTTGGGGAGGTTAATCAAGAGATGTTTTAAACTAAGTGTGACAACAGTAATCACACCAGCAGCAATAATTTCTCCCCAATATCAGATGTATGCAAATACGATATAAGAAATAAACACGCTGACCAGCTGCATTATCCAGATTCTATTATTTTCCCACTGTTCTTTAAACATTTTTCCTATGGAAAAAAAAGGTAAAACAGGGCTCTTCTAAATGCATTAAAATCTTATTCTGAAAGACCTGAATAAGCACTTCTGAAGAGGATATCCCCAAATTTAAAGAAAAGGCATTCAATTTCATTAGCCATTACCAAAATGCAAATTAAAATCACAAAATACTATAAACCATGAGAATTGATAAAATAAAAAAGACAGACAATACCAACTATATGTAAAGATGTGGAAAAATTTCATATACTGCGGTGAGAGGGTAAACTGGCACAACCACTTTGGAAAACTGTTTGTCAGTATCTACTAAAGCTGAACATACTCACATTCTATGACCTAGAAATTCCACTCCCAGGTATATACCCAACTGAAATGTGTAAACATATTCACTGAAAACATGCATATGAATGTTCACAGCAACACAACTTTTAATAGCCCAAACTGAAAAACAATCCACACACCCATCAATAGTGGCAGGGATAAGTTATATATATATATTCACACAGTGGAATATACCACAATGAGAATAAACATACCATACACATGCAGCAACAAGTACGAATCTCACTAATGTTGAGAGCCAGGAAACCATTCACAAAAGGTATATAAATACTACTCCATTTATGTAAAGCACAATAACAGGCAAAACTAATTAGAATCCAGGATAATTGTCACTCTTACGGTACAAGGCAGCAACTAAAAGGGAACTTGGTTGTTTCTGAGGTTCTGAGGGTCTATTTCTTATTCTGGTTGGTGGTTACAAATTGTGAAAATCTGTTAAGCTGTACATTTATCACTTATAATATGTGCATTTTTCTGTATGTGCTTCAGTAAAAGTTATATTGCACTCAAAATTCACCTAGAGTAAATAGAAAAATCCTATTTTAAAATGTTTTGCAAACTCTTGTATGTTATTAGACTATGTCAATCAATTTTTGGCTCTCTTCAAATGTTTACATTCTTTAGTGATTGCTCTGAAGTTAACTGAAAGGTCATGGTCAACACATTTTTCAGTAAATAAAGAGCACAGCATAGAAAGCGGGAAAGTGAGAAGCTTATCATGATGTAACAAATTAAGTACCTCTAGACCCATTTCACCTCGGGCTACTCTCCAAGCCATTGACCCAGATGTTCTTCCACCAAGTTCTCCAGGTTTAGGGGTTTTGGGAGATATAAATTCAACAAGCTCCACAATTATCCTCTGAAGAAGTTCTTTTCTTCTGTTTTCTGACAAAGACATTTGCCTCTGAAATTCATATTTAAAAAAAAAGTCATTAAGATTATGGGAATGTAGAGGTCCCTGTCTAAGTAAGAATATACTTAAAAAATTTGTATTTTAAGGGAATCTTGCAAGAAGCAACCAAGTTTATTTTCATATGTATAATTTATTTGGAAAATAAAAAGGACACTGGAAAATTCAAAATAGTTTCATAAAATTTGTTAATACATCATTTTACAACCATATCAAACTCTCCATGAGCTTTACTGTCCTAGATTTAAAATGAGGCAGCAACTTCTGTTTTAGGCCACGATAAATTAGCTTGTGTCAGACCAACTGTCCCACTGAGAAAAGCTAGAAAAGCTGGGGAAAACACACACACAATCACACACATGCAAACACCTGTCTGAATGCAACAGAAAGCTACCAGCATGGCTGGACTGAAGAAGCTAAGATCCCAGGGGAAGGACAGAATTGAGGTGAAGTGAACATACTGCACCCCCTTTCCCTTCCAGGCATTTGCCAATTATTAACTGACATGAGGAGAAGCTGAGAAGCCAACCACAAAATGGAGGCTAAAGTGCTGACACACAAAGCAGAATTTTGAGCAGAAACACAATGCTGGCGAGTAAATAAAGTGGAGTTCAGCATCTTCCAAGGTCAAGGTGAGGGGCTGTACTAAATACTCCAGTTTATTAGATCAGGATCTCTGAAGGCCTATGCATTAGAAGGTGAAATTCCAAATAGACTGAAACCTTACCTTGAATCTCAATCACTGACTGGATTAAGGTGATCCGTCTCTATTCTAATTGCCTTCCAGAGCAAAATTAGTTGTTTTTTAAATTATGAAAAAAATCCAAATAAATATATAGTAAAAAGTTTCAATACTACCAAAGGGGTATAATGTAAAACCTGAATCTACCCTCTTGGAGTCCCATGTCTTCTTCTCGGAAGTAGTCACTGTTAACAATTTCCTGTGCCTTGTTTCAGAAATTTCCACATTCGAACAGTATGTGTGTGCGTGTGTGTGTTATTAATTCAAGACATAATTACTTCAGTGAATAAGACAACATATTTTTTATGTTAAATACAGATGTTGAAATTTTCTTTCACTGAACTTTAAGAGATGTGACAATTTAAGGTAAAAAAACACAATATTTAAAATGAGTCATCAAAATTTTCAATGAACAAAAAGACATTTAACATATTAAAATATTTTTGCTTGCAAAATAATGCTATTTTTAAAATTTAAGAGTTAAAAATTGGCTCTTGATTCTATGAAAAATTTCAAATCTCCTCGCAAAAATGATAAATGCCCATCAGATACCTTCTTATTAAGTCCATTAATAGTTTCTCGAAGTACTTCTTCTTTAATCTTAGTTCTTCTGGCGATTACCTCTTCATGTTTACAAGAATATCGCCAAGTGACATCAACCACCTCAAATTACAGAATACAAATATTTAATAAGATTACAACCATCAACCTTAATTTGCTAAATACCTACCTAGAATATAATTCAATTCTTAAACATACTTTTTAAAATGCTATTCTTTGCTTAAAAGTCTAAAAACCTATAGAAAAAAATCAAAGAAAATGTTGTTGTTGTTTTTTAATTCATTTTCTAACAGGTACACTTCCAAGAAAGACTGTGATAAGATGAAATTTTTAGAATATTTAGGCTTTTATAAGTTTATTTATAAAGCTTATTTCACAAAAGTTAACAAATAAAAACTTTTTCCAATTTATTATATAAAATTTATATTATAGAACTGATTTCTGACAAAGGTGCAAAAACACTTCAATGGAGAAAAGATAATCTTAACAAATGGAGCTAGAACAATTCGTTATCGATATGCAAAATAATGAATTTCAATCCACACCTTGGAGTATATACAAAATTAACTCATACAGGATCACAGACCCAAGTGTAAAACTAAAAGTATAAAACTTCTAAAAGGAAACAAAGGAGAAAGTCATTTTGGCTTGGGCTAGGCAAAATGTCTTAAATACAACATCAAAGAGCATGATGCATAAAAGAACAAACTGTAAACTAGATTTCTTTTCTTCAAAAGTCATTGAGAGAATGAAAATATAAGCTATAGATAAGGAGAAAATTTTTGCAAATCATTTATCTATTAAAGGACTTGTCTTGAGAATATACAGAGGGTACCAAAAAAATATATACACATTTTAAGAAAGAAAAAAACTGTATTAAAATTGTAATATTCAATATATACCAATAACAAAAGATGAATACAAGTCATGTGTACACATTTTTTT